ATCACCTTTTTTTACATCCTTCTTATTAAAACAGTAGACTGACAGATGACTGCATGCATTTTAGATTTTATAGTGTCGTTACTAGAGCGTCTTATGCCGACAACTGGAAACAATCTCGTATTAGTATCCTATAGTAAAATCGATTTTTCTTGATGAAAACTTCATTATTGTCGGATTTTGACTAGAAATTAAGAATCAGCATCAAATTCTGCATCGGATGATGTATGAATCAAAATTATTTGAGCAAAAAAATTTTTCGATTGTCCCGTGTTTCTCGACAGGTGCAAAACTACAGGTAAAAGTACATTATTCTACTCAGAATTTCACGCTGACTCAGAATATGTAACCATTTTTGTAGAATATCATGGACAAAAAAATGATCTTATCACTACTTGTCCTTTACATGAATACTTTCATTTTTACTCATTTGATATATGATTTACGGTCAATTTTCTTCTTTCGAGATTTCTAGATACTGATTTCAATTGCTTGAATTCAGTTAAAAGTTAAGTTAAGCAGAGATCGATTTGAAAAACTTTAAATAGAATGAATTCCTTCGGCTCATGACCAAGATCGCGTTCATCTCAAATAAGATGCGCATGTCATGTACCTAATGTTTACATATAATATATTTTCATCGTTTTCTATGAAGTATTCTTTCAGAGGCAGTATTCCTGCAAATGTTTTAGTTCGTTCATCTCTATCTTTGATACGATCTAGACAAAAGAATAGAAAATCAGATCGAGACGTAACATTTCTTTCTTGTTGAAATATAAATTAGTAACAATACACGGGCAAACATAATTATCAAGAATTTTATTGTATGATCGCTGTTTGTCGATCAACATTCACACAGAACGGGACTAAACAATACAATTTTTCGTTGGGTTTCGTTCCATCGATTATTCTTTTGCAAATATTTATACTTGTTCTCTCTTCTCGAATTCCTACAATGTTTCAATAGGATTTTTCGTATCATCAGAGGACAACGCAGCAGTACAGGAAGATTCTTCACTTCTGTCGGAAGTTAATACAATTTCACGCGATTTAATTAGTTCACTTTCATAGCGTAGTAATTGTAACATGAAACCTTCATTGGGCCATATTTGAGGACGTTTTTGAAGGAGATAATGAAAAGCTTCTGTCAGTGTATTATGATGATACTAACATAGAAATTTCAATACTATGTTCTGTATGTTTTCTGAAGATACATTATTTTCATTAAATATGCTAATACAATAGTTGCTGATCTTGAAACGCCTAAAATAGAGATTAAATCAGAGTGTTTTTTCTTATTTTCAAGAAGATAAGAACTGCAAGTTGAACGAGGGTGTGGATGTTTGAGAGAAAAGATAACCAACACCCACACCCCACACTCACATCCACACCCTCTTGCTGCTCGCTGCTTTGGAACTAAGTGAATCGATATATCTAAAAATTATGTTTCGCTTTAATGCTCAACGTTAGATACATTGTATCAGAACATTCATTCAGTATTACAGAGAAGTGTAAAACAATTTATTTGTAAGAATAGTGTTTGAATTTGTAGTTGGATACGACTTGCAAAGGAAACATCTATTCTTACGCCCTTGATAAAAAATGATAGAAGCTATGCTTTTTGAATATTCTTTTATCATCTGAACAGGATAGCTTCATGTTATTTCACTTTATAGAATGATTTCTATAATATAAGAGTACTTTATTTTTATTGATATGATATGAAGCAACCCATTCTGTACGAGCGATTGTTACATTAGTTAGCAATACGAGTAAAAATAGATTAGTGAAGAGTTTTCACACAAACCATAAATCCAAGATAGTTGAAGAGAATACGCTGTGGAGTGTAGTTTGGAGGACATTGTCGTAAACCTGGATTGAAACCATCACACGAGGGACCCTCAGTTGATCCTTCTATTTGCATTCCACATAGTGTTCCTGGTGAGTCCTCGTTCACGTTTACAGCTGCACAAACTGCATTTCCTGCATTGCAGAAGTTTGGGTATGGTAACGAAGCACTGCATGGTCCCTGTGTTTCATGAATTAGTTGATAATTTGTCGGGCATTTACCCGTGTAAACATTGGAACTGTCATTACAACCTATATTAAAACTAAAATTAGATGGTGAATGATAAGAATGAAGTCCACATATTGTTCCGTAGAAAGGATTGCTGATAACTGTTTGATTTTTATAACAAATAGTTAAATCAATGCGCCAACTATACTTAATCCAACCAGTTGGACATCCATCCCATGGACGTGTACCACCGCACTTAATCTGTATAAAAGGACGATCGAATCCACAAATAGTGCCGTGTAGTATTTTATGATGCTGTATGACAGCTGTTTTACAATCACTACCAGTCCATTCTGGTTTACATTGACAAACTCCATACTGGAAAAATCCAGTCGGTTGGCATGTTCCATAAGTGTCATTACCACCACAGTTATTGTCACAGTAAACAGAACTAGTAATATATTTCTCAAATATTTTTTCTATTAGTTTCGATTTATTTGTTATCATAGGGTCATCCGGAAAGTAATGTTTTGTAAAAAGACGAAAAATATCTCGAACTTTCAGCTTAATAATAACAGGATTGTCTGAAACTGTTTTGGACCATTCAGCAAAGCTGGTTAAATCAGGAACACCACCAAGTTTAGTGTTGGACATTGATTTAACTTCTTTCTTGAACATATTATAGTTGGCATCGCTCACTCCATTGGTCACAGTTGGTCCAACATTAAAACTATTTCCTATATTTGAACCCATTGATAAATCAAAGCTGACCACTGCTTGATGTTTTATTTGTATGCTATTTCTTTCTAGTTTTTCTTTTGCTTCTCGATCAATAAAGATATTTTGTTGAGCTACCCCACCAAGCAGAATACTTGTGACATAAGCAACTCCAAAATAGTCAAAAATGAAGTCCTTCACGTATTCTTCTGTCATTGGATCATCTTCTTCACAACAAAATATATTGTCAATAACGTATCGAAAATTATCTGATAGTTCCATTTTAGGTTCAAACATCGATAGTTTAGCATAAGAAATTTCAACTGCAGTAAGCTAAACAATTTTACATTATCATATTTCAAAATTCACAAACAATAAAAAAACTTACTATAGAGGTTCGATGTTTATTGATTATATTGTCAAGCATATGTCGGGTTTCTTTTGAACGTGTATAAGAGAAGCCCACACCTCTGAATTTCGCCCCAATGGAAACGTCAACTTTATTCGAAATAGATGCATGTAGATTTTCAATTGTGTCAACAACTTCACTATTAACCGTTTGTGTACCAGATGGTAAACAGTCTAGCTCAACGTTATTCGGTACAAACTTGTCGGTACATGATCCTGGAACTGGTGATGAATAATTAAGTTTGAATATTGAACGAGTAAATTCATCCATCTGACATGCACCTGTATAACACACCGGAGAACCAGCAAGTAGATTGTAGCCAAAGCCAATTTTATTACTATTTATCAACCAACCAGGATTTCTAAGGGATCGAGTCGTAGAATCAGATTGTTGGAGATACTTCCGCACATGTTCAATTATTTGATGTCGCTCATTTCGTAGAGAAGAAAGTTCAACAACGTGAAACAGTAAAAGAATAACACAAATTTGAAGCATCTTTTCGCTAAAAGAAATTTTTTTTTCTTTCATATATATTTATTCTCTTAATCTTAATAATATAAGACAAGTGAAGAAATTCGATTACTTTCTGTGCTAGAAAATATCATATTTCATGATATTATCATTTTAAAGAGAACATCAGATATTAAATTAATTGAAACTTGATTTTATCGATATTATTTTCTTCTTGTGCCAACACTTGAAAAATCATTTCGGATCAATTTCCATACATTGATATTTACTGAATACACGTTTTTGTTCGAGTCATTCATAATGCAAGAAAACTTAATCTGTGTAACAGTATCACTTCGTAATTTAGTTAGATGCAAACATATGGCATATAAGTCTGATGAAATAAAAAAAAAAAGAAACGTCAAAGTGTGCCTCAAATGAATAAAGAAAGATGATACGAGTAATCAAAAATATGACAGTACTATGTAGTTTTGAGTGTGTGGGTGTGGGTGCGATGTTGCTCTTTCGTTCATATGCACCAACACCCACACCACCCCACATTCACACCCCCCCCCCCCCCCCCCCCAAACCACACAATTCTTTTCTATTTTTGATTTCTCCTTTCCTCCT